CCGCTATGATTTTTAGTTCATAAGGTTTTTGGCCTGGGAGAGGGATGGGGGGGGGGGAGGAAGGGAGGTTATACGTCAAAATGCGACGTACTACTGGAGAGGTATGCGTTGTTGGGAATGGGTGACGGTTACGGGATAGGGAGGAAGGAAGAAATAGGGATGGAGGGAGGAATGAAATAACATTCATTCAAAAAGCCTAATCTTGGGTAAGGAAAAGGAAAATCAATCGGATATTAAAACATCACTCGCGCCTTGAAAGATGGTTAAGAACAGAGGTAAAACAGGTTAACACATGAGTAACACAGAGGTAACACAGGGGTAACACAGGGGTAACACAGAGGTAACACAGAGGTAACACAGAGGTAACATAGAGGTAACACAGGGGTAACACAGGGGTAACACAGAGGTAACACAGAGGTAACACAGAGGTAACACAGGGAAGGTACAAAGTGGATGGGCGGGGCCAGGCCACAAGACGCCGTATTAAAAAGCTCCATAAAAGACCGCAGCACAGTGTCAAGGCTGTCTCGTTCAGCCTTGGCAGAATAACTACACCAACTTGTACCGCAGTAGAAGAATTACGTCATCACACCTGAAAAGCGGGTACACAACTTTCACCTTCCTGGAAGTAGCAGCCAGTAGTATAAGGAGGAAACCGAAGCTATACACTCGTGATTACGGGCTCACCATAGCCCGTGCTACTTGCCCCACTCCTGTGCCAGGTAAGCTACGGGCTCACCATAGCCCGTGCTACTTGCCCCACTCCTGTGCCAGGTAAGCTACGGGCTCACCATAGCTCGTGCTACTTGCCCCACTCCTGTGCCAGGTAAGCTACGGGCTCACCATAGCTCGTGCTACTTGCCCCACTCCTGTGCCAGGTAAGCTACGGGCTCACCATAGCCCGTGCTACTTGCCCCGCTCCTGTGCCAGGTAAGTTACGGGCTCACCATAGCCCGTGCTACTTGCCCCACTCCTGTGCCAGGTAAGCTACGGGATCACCATAGCCCGTGCTACTTGCCCCACTCCTGTGCCAGGTAAGCTACGGGATCACCATAGCCCGTGCTACTTGCCCCACTCCTGTGCCAGGTAAGCTACGGGATCACCATAGCCCGTGCTACTTGCCCCACTCCTGTGCCAGGTAAGCTACGGGCTCACCATAGCCCGTGCTACTAGCCCCACTCCTGTGCCAGGTAAGTTACGGGATCACCATAGCCCGTGCTACTTGCCCCGCTCCTGTGCCAGGTAAGTTACGGGATCACCATAGCCCGTGCTACTTGCCCCACTCCTGTGCCAGGTAAGTTACGGGCTCACCATAGCCCGTGCTACTTGCCCCGCACCTGTGCCAGGTAAGTTACGGGCTCACCATAGCCCGTGCTACTTGCCCCACTCCTGTGCCAGGTAAGTTACGGGCTCACCATAGCTCGTGCTACTTGCCCCACTCCTGTGCCAGGTAAGCTACGGGATCACCATAGCCCGTGCTACTTGCCCCACTCCTGTGCCAGGTAAGCTACGGGCTCACCATAGCCCGTGCTACTTGCCCCACTCCTGTGCCAGGTAAGCTACGGGCTCACCATAGCTCGTGCTACTTGGAACTTGTTCCGAGTAGCTGAATCTATAACAACAACTATACACTCTGTGATAAGAAGCAAATGATTGAAACAGCATTTGTTGGTAGGTATACAATGATTCCCCCCCCCCACCTCCTCCCCATGTATTGATCATAAACTAAGCCTGCTTTTACACGTGTAAATATCATATATACATTATATCATTATATACTGAATGTACTCTTATTTTCGTTGGGTTAGGCTAGGCTTTTGTTGGGTTAGGCTAGGCTTTTGTTGGGTTAGGCTAGGCTGTGTTGGGTTAGGCTAGGCTGTGTTGGGTTAGGCTAGGCTGTGTTGGGTTAGGTTAGGCTGTGTTGGGTTAGGCTAGGCTGTGTTGGGTTAGGCTAGGCTTTTGTTGGGTTAGGCTAGGCTTTTGTTGGGTTAGGCTGGGCTTTTGTTGGGTTAGGCTAGGCTGTGTTGGGTTAGGCTAGGCTGTGTTGGGTTAGGCTAGGCTTTTGTTGGGTTAGGTTAGGCTGTGTTGGGTTAGGCTAGGCTGTGTTGAGTTAGGCTAGGCTGTGTTGGGTTAGGTTAGGCTGTGTTGGGTTAGGTTAGGCTGTGTTGGGTTAGGTTAGGCTGTGTTGGGTTAGGCTAGGCTGTGTTGGGTTAGGCTAGGCTGTGTTGGGTTAGGTTAGGCTGTGTTGGGTTAGGCTAGGCTGTGTTGGGTTAGGTTAGGCTGTGTTGGGTTAGGTTAGGCTGTGTTGGGTTAGGCTAGGCTGTGTTGGGTTAGGTTAGGCTGTGTTGGGTTAGGTTAGGCTGTGTTGGTTAGGTTAGGCTGTGTTGGGTTAGGCTAAGCTGTGTTGGGTTAGGCTAGGCTGTGTTGGGTTAGGTTAGGCTGTGTTGGGTTAGGTTAGGCTGTGTTGGGTTAGGTTAGGCTGTGTTGGGTTAGGTTAGGCTGTGTTGGGTTAGGTTAGGCTGTGTTGGGTTAGGTTAGGCTGTGTTGGGTTAGGCTAGGCTGTGTTGGGTTAGGCTAGGCTGTGTTGGGTTAGGCTAGGCTGTGTTGGGTTAGGCTAGGCTGTGTTGGGTTAGGCTAGGCTGTGTTGGGTTAGGTTAGGCCGTGTTGGGTTAGGCTAGGCTGTGTTGGGTTAGGTTAGGCTTTTGTTGGGTTAGGCTAGGCTTTTGTTGGGTTAGGCTAGGCTGTGTTGGGTTAGGCTAGGCTTTTGTTGGGTTAGGCTAGGCTGTGTTGGGTTAGGCTAGGCTGTGTTGGGTTAGGCTAGGCTGTGTTGGGTTAGATTAGGCTGTGTTGGGTTAGGCTAGGCTGTGTTGGGTTAGGCTGGGCTGTGTTGTCTTAGGCTGGGCTGTGTTGGGTTAGGCTAGGCTGTGTTGTCTTAGGCTGGGCTGTGTTGGGTTAGGTTAGGCTGTGTTAGGTTAGGTTAGGCTTTTGTTGGGTTAGGTTAGGCTGTGTTGTTTTAGATTAGGCTGTGTTGGGTTGGGCTAGGCTGTGTTGGGTTAGGTTAGGCTGTGTTGGGTTGGGCTAGGCTGTGTTGGGTTAGGTTAGGCTGTGTTGTTTTAGATTAGGCTGTGTTGGGTTAGGTTAGGCTGTGTTGGGTTGGGCTAGGCTGTGTTGGGTTAGGTTAGGCTGTGTTAGGTTAGGTTAGGCTGTGTTAGGTTAAAGTTAAATTAGGTGACTTTAAATAACAATTTCGTAAAGAGGTACCTATACAGACTTCTCTCAGGTTTCAGACCCTATTCATGCTAAGAGCATCTCGTTTACCACACAGGTTCCCAGCGCCTCTCAACCAATCACCGCAGGCGCTTCACTGGCCAATCAGATGAATATGGAAATGAGTAAGCCACCCGTCTAAGCCCCTTGTAGCTGTAACAGGCTCACCGGTTAATGCAATGAGTACCGAGTTCTGTTGATTTTGTCGGCTCCGCGAATGGGATTATAATGATAATTTGGTTTATGTTGGGAGTAGTTAGTGTGTGTGTGTGTGTGTGTGTGTGTGTGTGTGTGTGTGTGTGTGTGTGTGTGTGTGTGTGTGTGTGTGTGTGTGTGTGTGTGTGTGTGTGTGTGTGTATTTACTATTTGTGTCTGCAGAATCGAGCTATTAGCTCTTGGACCCCGCCTTTCTAACCAATCTATTTTGTTCCTCTATCATATCTACTATATATATTTCTCTCCGACACACGCACACACATCCCCCAGGTTCCTGCCTCCACCCCCCATACCCAACCACTTGTGCTGGACGGTAGAGCAACGGTCTCACATCATGCAGGCTGGCGTTCAATCCCCGACCGTCCAAGTGTGTGGGCCTCATCATTCCTTTCCCCCCGTCCCATCCCAACTCTTTATCCTGAACCCTTCCCAGTGCTTTATAGTCGCAATGGCTTGGCGCTTTCTCCCTGATAGTTCCCTTCCTCCCCCCCCCCCACACACGCAACGCCAGCATCTCAACTTGAACATGTTCGAAACTATGGTTCGAGACTTCCTGCCCACTGTACCTACGCGTAAACAGATAAACTAACATAACCTAGCCTAACCTAACCTAACCTGACTTAACCTAACATAACCTAGCCTAACCTAACCTGACTTAACCTAACATAACCTAGCCTAACCTAACCTGACTTAACCTAACATAACCTAGCCTAACCTAACCTGACTTAAACTAACATAACCTAGCCTAACCTAACCTGACTTAACCTAACATAACCTAGCCTAACCTAACCTGACTTAACCTAACATAACCTAGCCTAACCTAACCTGACTTAAACTAACATAACCTAGCCTAACCTAGTCTAACTTAACCTAGCCTATTTTAAGCCTATATACGAAATCTAGTAAAGGAACGACCCTAATAACCTAACCATATACATAGTCACTTATTTTGAAAATTAATCACAAAATTTCTGTCACGAAGATATCCGGTAAGGGGGGGGGGGGTAGAAATAGCCTAAGCTACTCTATCCCTTTGAGATGTATTTATTGCTTATCTCAATAAACATACTTGAACTTGAACTTGATATCCGGTAGCACAGTGGCCTACGTTCACCTAGCAGTAAAATAGGTACCCCCATGAGCTAGGCAACTGTTGTGGGTTGCATACAGAATGATATTAGCACAGTAGAAAGTCACATGCGTACATGACGTAAGTACATTAAAAAAAAGAGCACAACAAAGTCACAAGAATGTGAACTAGGTATGTGAAGATCTTTGAGGCTATACAATGGGATTGAACCTGCGTTCCTGGACTTCCCTAGCACCGACTGCGGAGTCCAGAGACGCTGGTTCGATTCCATGGCATAGAATTACTCTTTAAGAACCTTAGACCCCTAGGGTCTATAGGGGTCTAAGACCTAACCAAACCTAATATAATAAAAAATAGGATATATTTCTTTGTATATATGGTATGTATAAAGTGTGACGTCACTATTATAATGTTCAAACCCATACAGGTTTTAGACCCGACTGGAAATGTGAGTTTTTTTTTAACATACAATCCAAAATTCCACGAAAGAATGCCGATGATTTTAACGAATGTCAACACATTCCTGCCATCGGTAAGTAGACATTCCCCCCGGGTTTATTGGCCCCAGAGCTAGAGCTCGTGAGTGTCCAGTCCAACCACTTAAGCTGGACGGTAGAGCGACGGTCTCGCTTTATGCAGGTCGGCGTTCAATCCCCCGACCATCCAGGTGGTTGGGGCACCATTCCTTCTCCCCTGTCCCATCCCAAATCCTTATCCTGACCCCTTCCCAGTGCTATATGGTCGTAATGGCTTGGCGCTTTCCCCCCCCCCTGATAGTTCCCTTCCCTTCGTGAGTGTCCACTAAACATTGTGGTCAATGATAACATTGTCGATCTTGGGGAAAATTTGAAGGGAAATGAATGTATATTGAAGGGTGACTTTCTAAGTTAGTCTCTGCCTGTTGCTGTAAGGAAAATTTTGAATCAACGATAATTTTGCCAACTTATTATAAATTCTCTATAAACTAACTCACATAGTGTAAACACACTATGCAAGCCTTCACATATACGTAGATCAACACATACTAGCGCACAGACACAACACAAACCAACATATATCACAAACATACCAAACGCTCAAGCGTTCATAATTTGTCAAGCGATGAATACAATTTAATATTTTTCCCCCGTGCAGTCAACAAGATAATTAAAAGTACCATTCAAGGGAAAAAACTCGCTCGACCGAACAGTTTTTTTGGTTTTGTTTTTACCTGTTAACGCATTGTTGCTTCTATTGATCAAAATCCCGAGTGTCAGCGCTCTTCCGACGCCCGACAGAGAGGGACGAAAGAGGGAAGTAGGGATGAGGGAGAGAGAAAAAAAAAGGAACACTAACAGGAAGGAGCACAGACTCTTGGAGGAGTGAAGGAAAAAAAAAAAAAAAAGCCCTCACGATCAGAGATTTCGATTAGCGGTAGACATAGTATCCGCACTATACATGTCGCCCGTGTATAAATGAGGTTGTAAACGTCAGCTTGGATTTGTATGCATCTCCATTCTTGTGTGGTGCTGCCTCGCACCGTCTCGTCCCTCTTCGACCCCGTTCCGGAACCATTCATCACCATTACCGGACCCAAACTACCCCTCCTCCACCTCCACCTAGTCCTACATCACCCATTTCCTCCAGGGTTAATACCATTACATTTTTTTTTATATAAATCCATTTCGCTGATTTCCCAAGCAGAGCCAAAACCTCTTCGCCAATCCGGATAAAAAAAAAATGATGAATCTTTGCGACTGTTTTTTATTTTCTCCGCGGCCGTTCGTTCAGTCGAGGTTCGGTTATGACTTATTCCGGTATCGTGCGTTCTAACCGGTTCTTAAAAGGGTTGGGTTAATATTTACAAGCCATTAAAGAGGCGAAAGCCTCATGCCAAGTGCTCCGAATATTGCAACAAGTCGACGTTATTAGGAGAAATATGCTCTGGTGCATTAATTAGCAATGGGAGGATTGTTGGCCCGTTCCTTACCTGTCATCTCCGCTCTGCTCCGACGGAAATAAATAATTAAAGACACAAATCACCATTGTCAAATGTTAATTTTTTTTTTTACAGATCAATTTTGCTTTTTTTTTTTTTAGTGTTTGTAAATCCTGCCAGATAAAGGCCAAGTGAAATCTTACTGATTTTACCTCATAAATAATGTATAATACTGATAATAATAATAATAATAATAATAATAATAATAATAATAATAATAATAATAATAATAATAATAATAATAAAATTAATAATAATTACAAGACTACAACAAAGGGGAAGGTGGGAAACGAATTGCATTACGAACTCCGAATGTTATACAGGGTTGTTAAGGCTCCTCGTACGGCAGACAATGGATGTTTCTACTGTACTTGGAACATCTTAAGGAACACCGTACACCTGCTCTTACGAAGCTGCGGGTCACTGCTGTAGCTGGCTGCTGTAGCGAGCTGCTGTAGCTGGCTGCTGTAGCGAGCTGCTGTAGCTGCCTGCTGTAGCTGGCTGTTGTAGCAGGCTGCTGTAGCGGGCTGCTGTAGCGGACTGCTGTACCGGGCTCCTGTAGCGGAGCAGTGATTGTTAATCATGATTCTGTAGACTGCGCGGTGCTATGAATCTTAAAGAGCAATATTTTTTATGTTAATTTATATTTTTGTAAAAGTTTTTACACTGTTTTGTCTACGTCGAAGCCTTCCAACTCTGTGACAGGGAAGGGGGGGGAGGCATGACCTGCCTCTCTCTCTCCCCCCCAGCCTGCAGCAGTACAGGCAGGTGCCCACGACCTGCCTCTCTCTCTCCCCCAGCCTGCAGTAGTATGGGCAGGTGCCCACGACCTGCCTCTCTCTCTTCCCCAGCCTGCAGTAGTATGGGCAGGTGCCCACAACCTGCCTCTCTCTCTCCCCCAGCCTGCAGCAGTACGGGCAGGTGCCCACGACCTGCCTCTCTCCCTCAGCCTGCAGTAGTATGGGCAGGTGCCCACAACCTGCCTCTCTCTCTCCCCCAGCCTGCAGCAGTACGGGCAGGTGCCCACGACCTGCCTCTCTCCCTCAGCCTGCAGCAGTACGGGCAGGTGCCCACGACCTGCCTCTCTCCCCCAGCCTGCAGCAGTACAGGCAGGTGCCCACGACCTGCCTCTCTCTCTCCCCCAGCCTGCAGCGGTACGGGCAGGTGCCCACGACCTGCCTCTCTCCCTCAGCCTGCAGCAGTACAGGCAGGTGCCCACGACCTGCCTCTCTCTCTCCCCCAGCCTGAAGCGGTACGGGCAGGTGCCCACGACCTGCCTCTCTCCCCCAGCCTGCAGCAGTACAGGCAGGTGCCCACGACCTGCCTCTCTCTCTCCCCCAGCCTGCAGCAGTACGGGCAGGTGCCCACGACCTGCCTCTCTCCCTCAGCCTGCAGCAGTACGGGCAGGTGCCCCGACCTGCCTCTCTCCCCCAGCCTGCAGCAGTACAGGCAGGTGCTCACGACCTGCTTCTCTCTCTCCCCCAGCCTGCAGCAGTATGGGCAGGTGCCCACGACCTGCCTCTCTCTCTCCCCCAGCCTGCAGCAGTACGGGCAGGTGCCCACGACCTGCCTCTCTCTCTCCCCCAGCCTGCAGCAGTATGGGCAGGTGCCCACGACCTGCCTCTCTCTCTTCCCCAGCCTGCAGTAGTATGGGCAGGTGCCCACGACCTGCCTCTCTCCCTCAGCCTGCAGCAGTACGGGCAGGTGCCCACGACCTGCCTCTCTCTCCCCCAGCCTGCAGCAGTACAGGCAGGTGCCCACGACCTGCCTCTCTCTCTCCCCCAGCCTGCAGCAGTATGGGCAGGTGCCCATGACCTGCCTCTCTCTCTTCCCCAGCCTGCAGCAGTACAGGCAGGTGCCCACGACCTGCCTCTCTCTCTCCCCAGCCTGCAGCAGTACAGGCAGGTGCCCACGACCTGCCTCTCTCTCTCCCCCAGCCTGCAGCAGTACGGGCAGGTGCCCACGACCTGCCTCTCTCTCTCCCCCAGCCTGCAGCAGTATGGGCAGGTGCCCACGACCTGCCTCTCTCTCCCCCAGCCTGCAGCAGTACGGGCAGGTGCCCACGACCTGCCTCTCTCTCCCCCAGCCTGCAGCAGTACCGGCAGGTGCCCACGACCTGCCTCTCTCTCTCCCCCAGCCTGCAGCAGTACAGGCAGGTGCCCACGACCTGCCTCTCTCTCCCCCAGCCTGCAGCAGTACAGGCAGGTGCCCACGACCTGCCTCTCTCTCCCCCAGCCTGCAGCAGTACAGGCAGGTGCCCACGACCTGCCTCTCTCTCCCCCAGCCTGCAGCAGTACAGGCAGGTGCCCACGACCTGCCTCTCTCTCTCCCCCAGCCTGCAGCAGTATGGGCAGGTGCCCATGACCTGCCTCTCTCTCTTCCCCAGCCTGCAGCAGTACAGGCAGGTGCCCACGACCTGCCTCTCTCTCTCCCCAGCCTGCAGCAGTACAGGCAGGTGCCCACGACCTGCCTCTCTCTCTCCCCCAGCCTGCAGCAGTACGGGCAGGTGCCCACGACCTGCCTCTCTCTCTCCCCCAGCCTGCAGCAGTATGGGCAGGTGCCCACGACCTGCCTCTCTCTCCCCCAGCCTGCAGCAGTACGGGCAGGTGCCCATGACCTGCCTCTCTCTCTCCCCCAGCCTGCAGCAGTACAGGCAGGTGCCCACGACCTGCCTCTCTCTCCCCCAGCCTGCAGCAGTACAGGCAGGTGCCCACGACCTGCCTCTCTCTCTCCCCCAGCCTGCACCCAGCCGATGACCGGGAGTCAATTTATGGCATCGGTGGGCGGAATATATTAGTTTGAGGGTTCAGTTGAATGGAGCGGTCACAGCCTACCACCACGCCCACCTGATCGACTCCCAGCGCTCCTGGGGGAGGGGGTGGGGATGTTAACGAAGTGCTAATGATGCTTCCGTTGCTGCTGCTGCTGCTGCTGCTAAAGAAACAGCTTCGGGGAGATTACGCAGCAATTTCAAAATATCTTTATCACTCGGGGTACCGGCGTAGATAACTTCCTATAACGCAATTAGCAATTATCATTGATAACTACTGGGCCAGTGGACTGGGGATCCCGTCACAGGCAAGGTAAGGGTGTTCGGGCACCGTATACTTAAGCCAGAGTTGATAGGCTTGTATGCAAAACGATGGATGGGGTGGAATGGGGAGCAACACAGGAGGGCTTATTAACCTATGTGTAAATATATATATATATATATATATATATATATATATATATATATATATATTATATATATATATATGTGTGTATATCACGAAAATAAACACGTGATTAAGAATGTGACAATGTCAGACCACGGAGGAAAAATGAAACAGGAATTTCCTTAAGTACTTTCGTATATTAAATACATCTTCAGAAGGTGAAGATGTATTTAATATACGAAAGTACTTAAGGAAATTCCTGTTTCATTTTTCCTCCGTGGTCTGACATTGTCACATTCTTAATCACGTGTTTATTATATATATATATATATATATATATATATATATATATATATATATGGTTCCAGGCCAACCATGCAACCATTGTGGCTTCTTGCAACGGAAGCTGTCGCCTGAGTAACTCACACACACACACACACACACACACACACACACACACACACACACACACACACACACACACACACACACACACACACACACACACACACACACACATTTTAATGCACCAAGCACGTGGTCATAACTACGATAACACAATTTCATTCATAACTCAGCCGTCAGTGTCAACAGCTGGCCGCGGAAGTCATAACCCCCGGGGGTCACAACCCCGGGGGGGTCACAACCCCGGGGGTCACAACCCCGGAGGTCACAACTACAGGGGTCACAACTACGGGGGTCAACAACAAACAACTCTGTTCTTTTGGCCCGCCTCTCAACTGCCAATCAACTGTTGCTAACTACTATTCCCCCCCCCCCCAAACACACACCCAGGAAGCAGCCCGTATCAGCTGTCTAACTCCCAGGTACCTATTTACTGCTAGGTAACAGGGGGGCATCAGGGTGAAAGACACACTGCCCATTTTTTGTTTCTCGCCGGCGCCGGGAATCGAACCCGGGACACAGGATTACGTGTCCAGCGTGCTATCCACACAGCCACTGGCGCCCGTTCCTTCCCCATGTGGCTGAGGGTGAGAGGGTGTGGCTAGGGTGAGGGAGGGTGTTGTAGTAACCCATCATCACCCTACTAGACAAACATGGTTACAGCTCATGTAATTACTGGTTCTGGCGAGTGTCCACAAGACTGCTCTCTCTCCTCGTTCGAATCCACTATCCCTCCCTCCCTCTCTCCTCTCTCCCTCTCTCCCTCTCTCCTCTCTCCCTCCATCCTTCCTTCCCTACTCCCCTCTCCCCCACAACCATATATGGCCCTCAGGACCATATAATGCCCCAATGTTCACAATCCAATTTATAAAGCACAAAATATGGCCGAGGATGTTATCGGGTCGTGGCATCGGTGGCGCGGGCGGGCATTAGGGCACACCACCCTGTTTTAGGGCACGGACATGGGGTACGGGGGGAGGGGGGGGTAGAGGGCTGTGAGGCTTGGGCTGGTCGGGCACCCATCCAGGTAATGTCCTCAGGTTCATCTAGTACGTACCACACATACACACACACACACACACACGACTCACATACACATACATACACATACATACACATACATACACACACACACATACACATACACACACACACACACACGACACAATCTGTTTTCTTTACTCTCTCTCTCTCTAATGCCTCGTTTACTCACGATTTGTACTTCATAACTGAGTAATGTATTGGCAGTGATGGTGTGGGTGTGTGTGGGGTTCGAACTCTTTCTGTAAAGCTTCGCCGTCGGATATGGGATTTAGGTGCATTTCTCGCAGCCTGTCCTCGTAACTCATGCCTCTTAGTTCTGGGACTAGTCTAGTGGCATACCTCTGAACGTTTTCCAGCTTCGTCTTGTGCTTGACAAGGTACGGCCTCCATGCTGGGGCTCCTTGTGCTCAAGTGTCAATCAACTAATGTACAGTGAGTGAGTGAGAGTGTGTGTGTGTGTGTGTGTGTGTGTGTGTGTGTGTGTGTGTGTGTGTGTGTGTGTGTGTGTGTGTGTGTGTGTGTGTGTGTGTGTGTGTCCGTGTCCGTGTCCGTGTCCGTGTCCCCGCGAATGGTAGCCAAGGTTGACCATCACCGAAGTCTAGGTCAAAGCCAATTGGTCCGGGCCACTCGGAATACGCGGACCACTCAATCACCCTGGACCGGACCACCCTAGAGGGTGGTAACGAGCGGGCCATGGCGGCTATTTCCTTCCCACATCCCTCCCCCCTTCCCCCCCACCTTTCCCACACCTCCGGAAACCCCCTTACATCACAGCTAATGAGAGAGATGGAGGCTGGAGAACCTCCTCCCACAATCATCATTTCAACATAGTGCAAATTACCTGGTCTGTTGTGTCAAGTCAACCGCACGGAGTAGGGAAGGTGTGTGGTCGGCTCTCTCCCTCTCCTTAAGTCTCTCTCCATCTCCTTAGTCTCTCTCCCTCTCCTTAGTCTCTCTCCCTCTCCTTAGTCTCTCTCTCCCTCTCCTTAAGTCTCTCTCTCCCTCTCCTTAAGTCTCTCTCCCTCTCCTTAGTCTCTCTCCCTCTCCTTAGTCTCTCTCCCTCTCCTTAGTCTCTCTCCCTCTCTCCTCTCTCTGTTTCCATAAATGTTTATGTCGCATTTTATCTGTGATGGGAAATACTCCGTGGTGGGGGGGGGGGGCGACAAAGGGAACCCCCTGGCGCGAGAATATCTCTCACTCTCATCATTCTTGTACGTGTCACATTCTTGTCTGTACAGCACCAATGCCTCATACTTTACCCGCCTGCACACGTGTCTCATCCTCCGATGAACGAGGGCCCCTTGTGAGCAAGAATGAGACTCATTACCGTACACAAGTGTCTCATTCTTGTATACAAGTGTCTCATTCTGGTATACAAGTGTCTCATTCTGGTATACAAGTGTCTCATTCTTGTATACAAGTGTCTCATTCTTGTATACAAGTGTCTCATTCTCGTATACAAGTGTCTCATTCTTGTATACAAGTGTCTCATTCTGGTATACAAGTGTCTCATTCTTGTATACAAGTGTCTCATTCTGGTATACAAGTGTCTCGTTCTTGTATACAAGTGTCTCATTCTGGTATACAAGTGTCTCATTCTGGTATACAAGTGTCTCATTCTGGTATACAAGTGTCTCATTCTGGTATACAAGTGTCTCATTCTGGTATACAAGTGTCTCATTCTGGTATACAAGTGTCTCATTCTGGTATTCAAGTGTCTCATTCCTGTTCAGATGTCTCAGTTTTCTCTCTCTCCCCTCCCTCCTTGTGCTCGTTCCACCGCCCTTAACAGGGTCATTACAATCTAAACCCTTCGGCATACTAGGTTGAAGACACCTCCAGCAGTCCACCTGTCCCTCCTGGGCTAAGGTATGCTGAACTCTGTAGTTACTATATGAGTACTGGAACACTTGATGATATATTGGACTTGTATCCAAGATTAACCATGTAATATATCACTTATTCAATGTTATATTCAATATATCATTTATTCAATGTTATATGATGTAACTATATAACCTGAGCTTGTAAAAGCACAGGTTATATAGTTGACCAGGTTACAGGTTATATAGTTGACCAGATCACAGGTTATACCTGCAACTATATATAGTTATATAGTTGCAGGTTCAATTATGCACTTCATCACCTTCAGTGATTAAGTGCTTAATTGCACACTAGTTTCTTTATCAGCTACCTCACCCTGTCAGGGTAAATGAGACAAATGTATGTGAATGCATGTGTGTGTATATATGTATGTGTATGTGTGTGTGTGTATGTATATGTATGGGTATAAAGCATATATGGAAGCTGATCAGAATTACATTTCACCTTTGTGAATGTACATTAATGACACTATGTAAAAGACATATCTAACACTTTATGTAGGGCATACGTAAATCTGTGTATCTATGTATTTACGTATGTAGGTTAGCTTAGCATTTTAAAAGCACCGAATCACCTTCTGTGGTTGAGTGTTCAATAAACCCTTGAACTGTATGTTTAACACTTCTCTAACCCTGTCCATGGAGGACAGAAGAAAATGTATATATGCTGGTTAGCATTGTAAATGTGTGGCCACGTCTGTGGTAGAAAATAATAATAATAAAAAAAAAAAAAAATGTCCACCTGTGACCTAAAAAGGTCAACTGATCAACACATATTGTTGTTGTGACCTTCGGAACAACAACAAAAAGGCCCCCCCCCCGAAGGCTCCTTTTTCAGGGCCCTCCCTTTCTCAGGGGTCGCCCCCCTTTCTCAGCGGCCCCCTCCCTTTCTCAGGGGCCCCCCTCCCTTTCTCAGGGGCCCCCTCCCTTTCTCAGGGGCCCCCTCCCTTTCTCAGGGGCCCTCTCCCTTTCTCAGGGGCCCCCTCCCTTTCTCAGGGGCCCCCTCCCTTTCTCAGGGGCCCCCCTCCCTTTCTCAGGGGCCCCCTCCCTTTCTCAGGGGCCCCCTCCCTTTCTCAGGGGCCCCCCTCCCTTTCTCAGGGGCCCCCCTCCCTTTCTCAGGGGTCCCTCCCTTTCTCAGGGGCCCTCTCCCTTTCTCAGGGGCCCCCTCCCTTTCTCAGGGGCCCCCTCCCTTTCTCAGGGGCCCCCTCCCTTTCTCAAAAAGCCCCCCCCCCACCTGAGAAGGACATGCTGAATACAATCATGTATCACTTAAAACTTTGAATTCAAAGCAGTGCATACAGCAGTTCTGTATTCACTGCTTTGAATTCAACTGTAATATGTTGTATTCAGAGCAGTGAATACAACATTACAGGTTGTGAACGGCTTTTGATAAAGCAATTGACAAGCTGTATCACAAGACGAGAGAGAACAGCCACAAAGAACCAGAGAACAGCCACGAAGAACAACAGAACAGCAAGAAAGAACAACAACAAAGAACCAGAGAACAGCAACAAAGAACAACAAGAAAGAACCAGAGAACAGCAACAAAGAACAACAGAACAGCAAGAAAGAACCAGAGAACAGCCACAAAGAACCAGAGAACAGCAACAAAGAACAACAGAACAGCAAGAAAGAACCAGAGAACAGCCACAAAGAACCAGAGAACAGCAACAAAGAACAACAGAACAGCAACAAAGAACAACAGAACAGCCACAAAGAACCAGAGAACAGCAACAAAGAACAACAGAACAGCAACACAGAACAACAGAACAGCCACAAAGAACCAGAGAACAGCAACAAAGAACAACAGAACAGCAACAAAGAACAACAGAACAGCAACACAGAACAACAGAACAGCCACAAAGAACCAGAGAACAGCCACAAAGAACCAGAGAACAGCCACAAAGAACAACAGAACAGCAACACAGAACAACAGAACAGCCACAAAGAACCAGAGAACAGCAACAAAGAACAACAGAACAGCAACAAAGAACAACAGAACAGCCACAAAGAACAACAGAACAGCCACAAAGAACAACAGAACAGCAACACAGAACAACAGAACAGCAACAAAGAACAACAGAACAGCAACAAAGAACAACAGAACAGCAACAAAGAACAACAGAACAGCAACAAAGAACAACAGAACAGCAACAAAGAACAACAGAACAGCAACACAGAACAACAGAACAGCAACAAAGAACAACAGAACAGCAACACAGAACAACAGAACAGCAACAAAGAACAACAGAACAGCCACAAAGAACAACAGAACAGCCACAAAGAACAACAGAACAGCAACACAGAACAACAGAACAGCAACAAAGAACAACAGAACAGCAACACAGAACAACAGAACAGCCACAAAGAACAACAGAACAGCCACAAAGAACAACAGAACAGCCACAAAGAACAACAGAACAGCCACAAAGAACCAGAGAACAGCTAGAGAGAACCAGGTGTAAAAAGAGCCTGGAGAGGCAGAGAAGGAGTTGCCAAGAGTGCAACAGGGGGCCTCCAGCCTCCCGTTGCAAATTAAGTTTGGGGTGAGACGGCCTCGGATACGTGATGATGCAGATAAAGAGAGCGGCAGCTTCTTCGTTGTGGCTCCGGCGGCGTCTGGCGAGTTTAGCTCAGTTACCCGTGAAGACGATCATGCCAAGTCGGCCCTTGGTAAAGAAAACGAGAGTGGCATTTTGATATACACCGGCTGTGTGTATATGTGTGTATTTTAGTATTTTGTATTTACTACTAGCAGTACCCGACCACGCGTTGCTGTGGCTCAGTAACCTTCCCTGTCTCCCAGTCCTGACCCCCATTCCCTCCCTCACCCGTCTCCTCGGCCTCCCCACCATTCCCCACTCCCTTGTCCCTTTGTCCTCCCCACCATTCTCCCTTTTCCCCTCGCCCTCCCCACCATCTCTCACTTCCGTCCCCTCGTCCTCCCCACCATTCCCCACTCCCTCGTCCGATGCCTTCCCAAATGGTCTGATGTTCCCATCAGAAAATTGGGAACATCAAGTGATCTGATGTTCCCATCACTGAAATATAAGAAAAACAGTTAAAAATGAAATGAAAATATGAAAAAAATAAACTATACTCACGAAATGAACGGTATGGTAAACAACACAGCTCAATTCCAATGCAATTCTCACAAAATAATTAAATCAAAATGAAAATAAATCAAAATCTATGACAATTAATTTATCAATGCAATCAGAAACATTGAAATGGAATTGTAACATATTTAGTATAGCATGTGTGTTGCTCTTACATGCAACAGATGGCGCTGTTTTTTAAGAAAAACATAGTTTTACCTGTCAAAGGTGTGGCATCTATACTTATACCCTTATATTAGGGGCCTCGTAGCCTGGTGGATAGCGCGCAGGACTCGTAATTCTGTGGCGCGGGTTCGATTCCCGCACGAGGCAGAAACAAATGGGCAAAGTTTCTTTCACCCTGAATGCCCCTGTTACCTAGCAGTAAATAGGTACCTGGGTGTTAGTCAGCTGTCACGGGCTGCTTCCTGGGGGTGGAGGCCTGGTCGAGGACCGGGCCGCGGGGACACTAAAAAGCCCCGAAATCATCTCAAGATCAAGATACTTACGAAATGAACGGTATGGTAAACAACACAGCCCACATCAATCTGGCGATATCTGGGTGATATCAACTCCTAGATCTTTCTTTCTGTCCGTTTCGTGAAGGACTTCATCTCTTATTTGGTATCCAGTGACTGGCCTCCTAGTTCCTCCTCCTAGTTTCATTACCTTACATTTACTTGGATTGAACTTTAGTAGCCATTTGTCGGACCATTCCTTCAGTTTGTCTAGGTCATCTTGTAGCCTCATACTATCTTCCTCTGTTTTAATCCTCATCATAATTTTTGCATCATCAGCAAACATCGAGAGGAACGAGTCAATTCCTTCTGGGAGATCATTTACGTATATCAGAAAACAGTATAGGTCCAGGGACTGATCCCTGTGGGACTGCACTGGTGACTCCCCGCCACTCCGAGACCTCACCCCTCACGGTGACTCGCTGTGTCCTGTGAATGTGTGTGTGTGTGTGAGAGAGAGAGAGAGAGAGAGAGAGAGAGAGAGAGAGAGAGAGAGAGAGAGAGAGAGAGAGAGAGAGAGAGAGAGAGAGAGAGAGAGAGAGAGAGTGTGTGTGTGTATATGTGTGTGTGTGTGTGTGTGTGTGTGTGTGTGTGTGTGTGTGTGTGTGTGTGTGTGTGTGTGTGTGTGTGTGTGTGTGTGTGGGACTGGTCACAGCAGACTAAGTTCCCTGAGGGATGAGGAACTACGTCATTTGAGATCCACTAGCGGACCTTAAAGACTTCTTCCCTTTAACTGTCTTAATTAGTCAAAGGTCAAAGCTTCGTTGGACCACAAACGAAGAAGAACCGAAGATGCAATTAGGAATCTCTCCCCCCCCCCCCCCGCCCCCCACAAGAAGCTCACTATAGGAAGGATCAAAGCGGCTTGTAACAACTTTAATCGCAGTGATTCGGGGCAATCTTCCTGGCCAATCACCACCAATCACCACGGCCCCAAACATTACGCGGTGCAGGTTGAGACAGGTCAACAACCATATGTAATGTTGTGCTACCACACGATCCTCAACGTCCATATATCGCTGTTCCTCGAAGAAGAAGATGAGGTACCCCATCCCCCCCCCCCTGAAATTGAAATTGAAATAAGTTTATTGAGGTAAAATACACACAGAGGGATGAGGTAGCTCAAGCTATTCTCACCCCGTTCAGTACAACGTGTTCATGCATATATATAGACACGCATCACAAATAATAAACATATTGCCAAACATTCTGAGAAATAAACTTATACATTTCCTCCTCCCCCCCCCCTTGTTCCTTCGTGTTCAGAGGAACAAGGGGAACAGCCCCACCAGGATATGTCGGGCTGTGAACGCCGCTGACAAGAACAGTATAGCCAGAACACTTAGCGGAGAACAGTATATGGAGAACACGAAGGGAGACTGTATCCTGGAGGAGGTGGGAGCTGAATCCTGAAGAGGATGGACAACAGAATCGGAAATCTTGGAAGCCATCTCTCCGAAATCTTTGAAAACGATCAAGGAAAATCCTGTAGGATCTCAAACCTGTATCGGAGTGACCATTGTGACGCGAGAGTGAGTGACATCTTCCATCTCTTCCACAACATACACACACACAAAAAAATTGTATTAGATTTTCCTCTTACGATAGGATAGGTCAAGTTAGATTAAGAGTGGATAGGTCAAGTTAACATAGGAAGGGATAGGTCAAGTTAGGTTTGTTTATAATACAGTGATGATGTGGACGATGCACAATGTTCTCAGGTCTGAGACCCTCCGGATAAAAAAAAGTCAAGCATGGTCTTGGAACCAACAGGGTGAGGCTGAGAGGTGTGGCTAGGAGGTGTGGCTGGGGATGGGGATGAGTGGGGGGGGGGGCAAGTCTTGCTTTGACACAATAGATGGTGAACAGGTGCGGAGGCTCAGATGGGCACAGAATCCCCCCCCCCTACCCCCCACCCAGGTCTTTCACGCAGGTGGATAAAGGCTTTCTTGCTGGCTTCAGGACACGGCCGGACCTGACCCTACACCCATGTCCCAACCAGTAAGTGTTGGGACACGTGGCTTCTTGACTTCGGCTCAACCATAGTGGATGTCACCCCTGGGAGTCGTCCAGTGTTCGAAACCCTTCGTGTTAAGTGTTTCCTCATTACCTTAAGATTATCTTGTGCGTCTTCACGTCAAACCCCCCATTCCTGCTCTGCCCTCTCCTCTCCCCCCCCCTCCCCCCCCTCTCTCTCTCTCTCACACACTCTCTCTCTCTCTCCAACACTTAAGATATATTCCTTTTTTCGTATCTTTCCCCTTGTCTTCATATCCTAATAACTCCCTCATCTCAGATTCCCATATTTTCACTGTTCCCTCCTATCCCCTATTCGCTCACCCCCACTCCACTCCAATCCCCCCACCCCCTCCCCATTCCCTTCCACCCCCTCCCCATCCCCTCCCACCCCCCTCCCCATCCTGCCCCAGCCTCCCAAAAAGCCCCAAGCCTGCCGTCACAATATCTCCCGGTGATGGGTATTGAGGCAAGTGTTAAAAGCTCTCATGATAGAGAGGAGGAGGAGGAGGCTGGTATTCACTCGAGACGGGACACTCTCTGGGGTCTTTGGTGGCCACTCAGGCAAGGGAGAGAAAAAAAATAAGTAGTTCGTACTAACAGGTTAGCCCTTTTAGACAGGTATGAGGCATATTTGGTTTCGCTTTATCGGAGGGAGACGCTAAGTTGATGATGGAGAGAGGGAGGGAGAGGGAGGGAGGGAAGAAGTGGAAGGAGTGTCTACTCACCTAATTGTGCTTGCGGGGGTTGAGCTCTGGCTCTTTGGTCCCGCCTCTCAACCGTCAATCAACTGGTGTACAGATTCCTGAGCCTACTGGGCTCTATCATATCTACATTTGAAACTGTGTATGGAGTCAGCCTCCACCACATCACTTCCTAATGCATTCCATTTACTAACTACTCTGACACTGAAAAAGTTCTTTCTAACGTCTCTGTGGCTCATTTGGGTACTCAGCTTCCACCTGTGTCCCCTTGTTCGCGTCCCACCAGTGTTGAATAGTTCATCCTTGTTTACCCGGTCGATTCCCCTGAGGATTTTGTAGGTTGTGATCGTGTCCCCTCTTACTCTTCTGTCTTCCAGTGTCGTGAGGTGCATTTCCCGCAGCCTTTCCTCATAACTCATGCCTCTTAGTTCTGGGACTAGTCTAGTAGCATACCTTTGGACTTTTTCCAGCTTCGTCTTGTGCTTGACAAGGTACGGGCTCCATGCTGGGGCCGCATACTCCAGGATTGGTCTTACATATGTGGTGTACAAGATTCTGAATGATTCCTTACACAGGTTCCTGAACGCCGTTCTGATGTTAGCCAGCCTCGCATATGCCGCAGACGTTATTCTCTTTATGTGGGCTTCAGGAGACAGGTTTGGTGTGATATCAACTCCTAGATCTTTCTCTCTGTCTGTTTCATTAAGTACTTCATCTCCTATTCTGTATCCTGTGCCTGGCCTCCTGTTTCCACTGCCTAGTTTCATTATGTGTGTGTGTGTGTATATATATATATATATATATATATATATATATATATATATATATATATATATATATATATATATATATATACATATATATATATATATATATGTCGTACCTAGTAGCCAGAACTCACTTCTCAGCCTACTATGCAATGCCTGATTTGCCTAATAAGCCAAGTTTTCATGAATTAATTGTTTTTCGACGACCTAACCTACCTAACCTAACCTAACCTACCTTTTCGGCTACCTAACCTAACCTAACCTATAAAGATAGGTTAGGTTAGGTTAGGTAGGGTTGGTTAGGTTCGGTCATATATCTACGTTAATTTTATCTCCAATAAAAGAC